AATCTTTAAAAAAAAAAAAAATGGACCACTTCCATTATGGAAGTGGCAATGTTTTGATCTTAGTTGAATCAATACTTTGGATATGGATTTGCCTTCCCTGCCTACAGTGCTTCTGTAAAAAGTCCATTTGTGGACTTATAGAATGCCTTATCCCAGTCATGGTTTTCCACACAGCGTGTCTTCTGAACAAGGAACTCACTTCTCAGCAAATGAAATGCAGCAATGGACCCAGGTTCATGGAATTCACTGGTCTTACCATGTACCCCACCATCCTAAAGTAGCTGGCTTGACAGAATAGTGGAATGACAATAACAAACATTGGTGAGGTTGTGGAGAAACAGAAATCCTCATCTATCACTAGGGAACATAAATGTCACAGCCACTATGGAAAACTCTTCGCCAGTCTCTTTAACATACATTTACCATATACGATCTAGAAATTTCACTCGTAGATATCTACCCGTATATACCCAAAAGAAATAAAAACGTCCATCCACGCAAAAGCTTGCCCATGAATATTCACACTATCATTATTCATGATAGCTAAAAAGTGGATTAACTGATAAATGTATAAATCAAATGGAGTATTTCCATACAAAGAAATACCACACAAAGGAATGAAAATAGTGACACGTGCCACAACATGAATTAATCTCAAAATTATGCAAAGTGAAAGAAGCCAGACACAAAAACAAAAAACACATATTCTATGGACAAGTCCATTTATAAAATGCCCAGAGAAGGAAAACCTATATGGATAGAATTAGACTTGAAATGGGTGTATTTTATGACATGTAAGTTATGTCTCAATAAAATCATATTAATAATATATGCATCACAGCACTAGTCATAAAAGCCAGTAACTAAAAGCTACCCAAATATCAATCAACAGTAAAATGTAAATCATACTTTCACAATGGAATACTATGCAATAGTCAAAATGAACAATCTCTAACAAACACAGCCTAGAGAAACCTCACATAAGGGTGAGCAAAGAAGTCCTACCCAAGAGTACATACTCTGTTATTCAATTTATATAGAATCCAAAAAATGGCAAAACAGATCTGTGCCGTTCAAAGTCAGAATGGTGGTTATACTTGGGGGTAGTTGATCTGGTTCTATTTCTTGAGCTGGGTGATGATTACATAACTGAGCTTGCCTTGTGAATATTCACAGCTGTACGTTTATGCTAAGTGTACTTTTGCATATGTATTGTATATCTGAAAAGACTTTCAAAAAGACCACCTGTAATCCTAGAAAAAAAACCTGAGAATTATCAAGTGTCCTTTAATCAGGTAAGGGTTAAACAAATTATAGAATATACCCCATCCATAACAAGAGTAACTAAAAATAGTAAAACGATTTTGAATGAAAGGTGAGACCCAGAGTTTAATACAAATTTTCAAGCACCCAGTGCTTCAAGATATGTTTTCCACAAATTCTAATTTTATGAACCACCCATTAAAAGGGGGGGGCTATCTTATAATCAATTAAGTTAGGTAGTTACTGCGTATTTTGGTACTCATATTGCCTTTTTTTTTTTTTTTAAAGATTTTATTTGTCAGAGATAGAGAGCAAGCATGCACAAGCAGGGGGAGTGGCAGGCAGAGGCAGAGGGAGAAACAGGCTTCCCGCGAGCAAGGAGTCCTATGTGGGACTCGATCCCAGGACTCTGGGATCATGACCTGAGCCAAAGGTAGACACTTAACTGACTGAGTCACCCAGGCGTCCCAGTATTTATATTGCTTATTACTCACAATCAAACTCTCTTAAGAGGTCCTGCAACAAATAAACCAGCACACTGATGACTCCAGCACCTACATTTGACTCTAATACTAATTATTCCATGAAACACGTGACACTCACTTTAGTAAACATTAAGATATTATAGTCTCCCTTTTTTAATAAGGCTTTATTTTGCACAGTTTTAGTTGGAGTTTTGAAGTGAAAGAAAATTAGTGAATAAAGTAACACTAGAATTACTAATAAACTACACTGAAACAAACTGGCTATACTTCATTACTGTAAGAGTAGTATTAGTTGAAAACAGAGAACAGAACGAAAACATAAAGCCAAGTTAAAAAGGACATCCAGGGATGCCTGGGTGGCTCAGTTGTTAAGCGGCTGCCTTCGACTCAGGTCATGATCCCAGGGTCCTGGGATTGAGCCCCACATCGGGTTCCCTGCTCTGTGGGAAGCCTGCTTCTCCCTTTCCCACTCCCCCTGCTTGTGTTCCCTCTCTCACTGTGTCTCTGTCAAATGAATAAATAAAATCGCAAAAAAAAAAAAAAAAAAAGGACCCTGCCAGGCTCCATCCCTCAAAATTTCTACTAACACTCTTGGAAGCTCCGCTGTGATGATGATAATCCTCTGGCAGTGGTAAACTAAGCTTTCATGTTTCAAGTTTTCCCCTTTTTGCTTCTTCTGTGTGGGATGCTCTTCATCTGCCTATCTATTTGCATATTCAGGTCTCAGCTCAAATGTCACCTTCTCAAAAGAGGTCTTCCCTTGACATCTTAACTTCATCAAACACTGTATCACATTTTAATCAAGTGTTTCATTGCACTGATTTGATTATCAGCACAATCTAGTATCTAGAATGGTGCTGGACACATAGTGGGATGCTCAACAATTACTTGTTTAGTGAATTAATAAACACTATCTTTGCAAATTTCCACTTGTTTTTATATATACTCATCAGGATTAAATAAATATAGCAAGAACAGGGACCACTATTACTTCAGTGTGACGAATGAACATGGCGCTTTGCAACTTAATAATTTTAAAACGACAGCAAGTTGCTTTTTGTGTGTGTTCAAAATTATCTGTTCAAACATGTCAAAGGTTCTTATTTTTGACTGAAGGAAAATATATTTCAAGTCGTTTGGAGTAAATAAGAACAATCCTGAAAACAAAACAAACAATCCTGAAAACATCTTGTCAATATTCATGAAACAGAGAGCTAGTCGTACCTCTAGAAAATATCAAAACCTGTTCAAAGTTTTGAAAAAACCTCAACCTCTGAAACAAGTACAAGTTACTTCAGTTAAAATTCAGCAGACTGAACATGAAAACTCCTGAGTAACAGAACAACTTTCTGAGAAGTGACAAGAAAAAGGAAAAGAATTGAGGTGAATTCTAAATATTACAGAGCACAGAGAAAAGTGACCATCACAGCCTTCATTTCTTTATTTCCTGATCTAGCTGTTAAAATGTATGTAAGAATCAGTTCTTATGTACCTATTTACTACTCAAAGTTGAACAGTTACCGTAATAGATAAACCAAAAGAGATGAAGATGGGAGTTGGAGAGTATTTTTTCAAAATTTTATAAACAGCTACCTTTTACTGCGTGTTCATTGGATTCCAGGTACTGAATTTGCAATAAAAGGCAGAACTTGAATTCAAACCAAGCTCTAACTCTAGATCGAGCATTTAATGAGTGAATTAGAGTGGGACTGATTTTGAAACTGAGGTTACCCAGAATGCAGTTGTAATCTCGCCACAGCTGCACAACTACCTAACAAGCCAACTTTTCTGGTTTAAGACATCTACACAAAGAGCAATTAATTTATCTCCAACAGGGATTCAAAATTTCCACCACATCCTCCAAGTTCTCCTCAAGGCAACCCAAGTAATACATACTCTTTAGACACGTGAAATACTTTTAGCTTATAAAGGCAGGTTGGGGGTTTTGTCTTTTGTTTTAATAAAAACTGCTCTGGTAACTTGATTGCCACCTGCCTCTACATTTTCATCACATCATAACATTTCAAAATGATCTCTGAATAAGGAGCACAAGACCTTCCATCCTTGGCAGACATACCCTATTTTTCAAGCAACAGCAGCAACAAAACCGAAAATCTGCTAGACAAATTAGTCATGCAAAGTTTTCTACACAAAAAATTTGCCTAGAACAAATACTTCTGCCTGGTAAACTATGAAATACTAGCCTCAGATTCTAAAATTCAGAGAAAAAAGAAAACTGATCACTGATAGCTAATTATTTACAAAGCAGCCACCAATTCAAGTTACTGGTTCCTAACCACAGTATCATTCTTCTAAGTAGCGTAAAATCCAGGTTTTAAACTTGCCTTATACATATTATATGTATTTTACATATTCTCAAAGCATTCTTTGTGACGGGAAAAATCTTAATTTTTTATATATAAACACATGCACATATATAATAAATTGGCCAACCCTCAGTTATTAAGTAGATTTCTGTCAGACATAATAAATTAAATATGCTTAGGAGTATATCTATTCAAGTTTTAAAAAGGGTGCTGCATATTAGAATTTAGCATCAAGAAATGTAGCCAGTAACTAGAAAATACAGCATTTTTTATACAAATATATTTTATATGAATAATGAATGAGCAACTGGTCCAGCATATTAGAGGCAATTTTAATAACCCAATCTGCAAAGCCGGAATGAAATCTTTTTAAAGAAGTGTTTAAAAAGAAAAAGGTGGACATTAGCTTTCCTTCGTAATCCTGATAAGCAGAAGACCACCTTTAATACATATATTTGTTTTGGTAACACTCTTTAAAGAGAAACAACCAAATGATCCCATTTAATTATTCACCAGGCTGAAATCTTAGAACATTTTTCTTTCCGCATTCTCCAAACTGCATTTATAATTTGAGCCTCTACCTGTACCAAGATTTTGTCTACACTCTACTCTGTATTGTGTATCATTCCTCTCCTTGTTACTTTACTAAAAACGCAAATAGCTAAAAACAAATTGTAATAAATTAACGTTAAATAATCTGATTTCCCATCATTAGGTTTCCAGATAATGCCAAAATGTTTCACCAGCCCAAACCTATTAGGCAAACAGGTTCTAACTACGCCAATTATTTTTTTTTTACTAAATGAAGGTCACTTTTAAATGGGAATGATTTGAATTATCAGGCTGAAGCTTATTCTATTTCCTATCAGATCATAAAGTAATCAGTGTTAACATACATGACAGATTAAGAATGACCAAGTCTTACCTTTGTCAGTTGTCACTTTGTCTACACATCTGAAAGAAATGAGAACCAAATATTAAATAAACAATCTTGCATACTTTCCTAAAACAAAGATATTTATCTCTTTCAGGTTCATCTTCAGAGTGATGCAGAAAGCCTCTAGAGTAGTGTGGTCAATAGAACTTTCCACAGTGATGAAAATATTCTATATCTGCTGTCCAATATGATAGTCATGTGTTGCTACTGAGTGCTTGAAATAGCTTGTTTGTAATTTAGGAAGTCAATTTTTAATTTTAATTAATGTAAATTTAAATAGATACCATGCAGCTATCATATCTGACAGCATACAACTAAAGTATCATTCAAAAAGTTTTTAACTGTAAAAAAAAATTAATACAAAGAAAATATTACTGATTTTGTTATATTAAGTGGTTATATAAGAAAATGTCCTTGTTTTACCAAATGCAGTAACTAGGGGTGAAATAATGTTTGAGATTTCCTCTAAAATACTTCAGCAAAAAATAAATAAATAAATAAAAATAAATTTAAAAAAATAAAGAGGCACAGGGAGATAAAGGTAATAAGCATGACAAAATCTTGATAACTGCTAAATCTAGTGGTAAATATTGGGCATTTCACTGTACTATTTTTTGTACTCCGTGTATACCTGACAATTTTCATAATAAAAATTTAATGAACCTAACAGAAAACCCCAAATTATTATTTGGTATACCCAAGTCAAAATCTATTTCTATAAAGGCAACAGACTGGACCTCAGAAATTAATATAACTTGTACTTTACAAATTAGCAACAGTGAAGAGTCTAATGTGTTATAAACTGTTAAAAAATGTTGTCATGTTTTTAATTTGGTAACATTTCTTTCATTCCTAACTGTTAAGCACAGTGTAACGAACCTCTAAGCTGGAGCCATTACCCAACTTCAAAAGTCCACCGGTCTTGGATCTTTACTATAAAGATGTTACATGGTATCTCTGAGCTAGTCCAAAGTTTTTTTGTTTTTGTTTTTTGTTTTTTTGAAAGTAAACCTGATGTAAGTGAGGACTGTTATGTCACAAAGAATATCCAAACAGAGAAACAATGTAATACAAATTCTGTTCTCTTTAGAAAGAATAGCTGTCATTTTCTCATCCCACTTTTTAAAAAGCTGGGTATTACTTTATTTTAAATTATACCATCAATGTCCCAATTAATAATTAACACAAGACAAGTCTAAAGAGAAATACAGATGTAATACCTAAATTTTGAAACATTACACAATAAACTTCCCTCCAAAAACCTTCTGGAATGGGAAGATGTTTCTATTACCATACTGATTGCCCTGGGAGGAAAACTCAGAATTTTAAACTTCTACAACTGTAACTTTCTTCAAAGAGCCACAAAAGCTGTTTCAATTCAGAATATTACTGCCTTTTCATTCTCACTATCCAGGACATTCACCTTTTCCTTACAAAAGGATATAGCAAGAACGTGTCACCTGAAGCTTTATTACTATTTTACCTTAAGAAGAAAATAAAGCAAAAATGAGTTCCATATCCCAGAAAATAGTGCAATATTTATTTCCTTCATTTGGAACCAGCTGAACCTATAGGAGTATCTCTAAGAATATGCAGTTTTAGCCAATAGGGTTACTCAATAGCTAAATTAAAGTTTAAAAAAGTATTTATTGAAGTTTTATATGAAATGCATTGGATATGAAATGCAGAGGACTTATTATCATGGTAGAATGAAAAGAAGCCTTTTTGCAATTTAAACTAGTCTTAAACAATTAGTTTCCGTATTAATAGAAAGCATGGGTGTTTTAACTTTCTGAATCAGAAAAAAACTGGTACTATATACATTTAAAATTAGACATGTATATAAACATCTATATTTAAAATATAAGAATCTGAACTCTGGAGTTTATGGACCAAAATACAGCAAATGATGAGCCTAATTCTTAAGTAGTACTGATAGATATAACCTTTCTTCAAATTTGGTTTCTTTCCTTATAATTGGCTTTAAGTTTTATTTTAAAATGATTTTAGCATTTAACTTTATGCCTTTCCCTTGAGCAAATTGCACTAAAAAATTATTTTCTTTCACAAGGATTTCCTGCTCTTTTCATTAACTTCTGAATGTTTCAATGCAAATGAAAATGTTATAAACATAAATGTGTATAAAAACTGTAACCTAATTATCATTTATACACATTTATGCTTGTAACAAATCATAAATTACCAGTTATAGATAAAGACACAAATTTAAAGAGCTTAAGTGACTTGCCTGGGGTCACTTACTGAGTAGTAGAAAGCTGAGACCAGAAACTTTGACTATACAGTCCAATGCTTTTTCCACTGCACTACTTTGCCTTCTAGCAGAAAGAGGTTTCAATCAATCCAAATCTCTGTATTTATTGACCTTTTAAACTACTGTATATTTTGCTGTCTCTTCATTCAAGAGAAACAAATGTAGGTGAAACAGCTATTACTGAGAATTTATAGGAGGAAATGGTGGGATATGGTAAAAGAACCTGAATAGAACAAGTAATTAAGAGATAAATCTCTTACTTCCTTTTTAAAAAGGGTCACATGTTGTTAGGAATATAGAGAAGGTCAGAAGGTACTTGACCAGGATTCAGTAAACTGATACTCAAAATCTCATGAAATGTCTTAAAGTATTAAATTTCTTACTTAGTTTTAAAGTTTATCACTCTGAAAATCTGTAAACCATGTGTACATTTGACAAACCTCCACTAATCGATGCATCTTCCCCTCATACTGCAAGGTCCTTGAAGACTAGGGCCAGGTCTCATTTACCTTTATAAAACCTATTACTGTGCTGATGACAGCACAGTACCAGGCCCAGGTACTGCTCAATCATGATTTCCAGGGCATGCAGTAAATTAAAAATGTGTAACAAATAAATTATCACTGAAAATTTATTTTAACAATCTGATCAAAACTGCGTAATAAAATACATAATAAAGAGACAGTTCTGAGGCTAAGAGAAGGCAAAGGAACACTACTATCTTTCATGACATTGGATGTGAGAGGGAGGGACACTAAGAATTAAGACTATATTTCTCTCCCCACAGGGAACAACATGGAGAAAAAATTGAAGGGATTTAATTAAGTCATCTTCATCCAAGTTCAACTGTTTTAACATTTATACTGTAGAAATAAAAAGACTCGTAAGTACTTTTTTGCCAAGAGTTAATGAAAAAAACAAAACAAAACATGAAGTGGAAAAAACTACTGCACTAGGTGTCATTATCTTAAGATATCATTTCTGTAAGTAGAACTGGTAGAACAGTGGGAGGGAAACGTGGTAAGGAAATCTAGGTATATTTAACTCTCAAATGGGTAGGTGAGGATGGAAGGGCATTTAAAAAATATATTAAGTTATTAACCTTCCCAGGTATGGCAATAGAAATAAATTTAAAAAATTCCAATTCTGCAGAGTTTACATGAAAATCACTACACACCACTTATACCTCTATCATTCCATTACCACTCAAAACAGTAATTTTTAACAAATATTGTATGTACTATGTACCAGGCTTTGTTAAGTTCTTCACATGCTATACTTAATTCTCATTAATTCATCTCATAAGGATTAACATTATTTCCTACAGATAATGAAACTAAGGCATATGCAGTTTAACAAATTTGTTCAAGGAATTTAATCCAAGTAAGGGTAATGACAGCTCTTTTCAAATTGGTGAGATGAAATACAGAATCTTAAAATTTTTGTGACTGTGAAATTCATCTATAGCAATTAGTATCCTAATTGCAGCCAAGTGATTTGTAAGTACAGATCTTTGTTGTCCACAGACCTGTAGTCACACAATAAATTCTCTAAATTATATTAACTTCAATAACATTCAAAAATTTGAAGCACATCATTCAAAAATTTGAAGCACATCTAATACCTCAATATACCTTTGAATTTTCTCTGAGAAGCTTCTAAGGCAAGCAAGTCACAGACTTAATTCTTAACTTTGGAACAGGTGTGTTTCAAGTTTTAAATTTGGTATAAGCCAAATCTTGCCATAATCTCTACGGGAGGGGACCCTTAAAACTGTGATTCCCCCAATCCAACTTCTCCTTTTATCAATTTTTTTCACTTGAAAGTCAAAAGACACAAACGATGTTTTCAGTAACGAATTCAATGACTAATATGATTAATTTCTACAATTTACAAACACATGCACTTCAGTATTTTCAACATAGGAACATTTTAATACTAACAACTTAAAATATGTATGTTCCTAGTCCCTCCATTATCTCTAGGTAATAAAGTAATTCCTTTCAGAGTAGCCTAAGTTTTAAGAACGAAGTTCCTACATTAAAACATAAGCACAAGCAGACAAGCAAAAACTAAAAAAACAAAAAAACACTAAAAAAATACCCAGCTAATTTTGTTGTATGAAAAACTACACTTAAAATTGGCAGAGCTACGTTTTACCCTACTAAGTACCAGATTTCTAAAACAGGTGAAACGTGATGTGAAAATTTAGCAGAGCGGAAAAAGCTTTATGAAGCTACTAGTACAACTAGCCCTTGAGCTAATTAATGGGGGTGGGAGAGAGACACACACTTTTGAAGGCTAAGATTGTGCTGTTGATTTCCTAATGGGGATGTGATGTAATACTGGAGAGCCGCCGTACGAGGGGAAGGGACAGGCTGACAAAGGGAGTGCATATGCCAGAGTGCGGGCGAAGCCTGCGGCGGCAGGGAAGAATAAGGTCACAAGGAGCAAAAGAGGTGTATCCCACAAAGGACGACTTCAGGGAGAGGGGAAGTGGCCCCACAGACAGAGGACACGGGGGGAGGGCCAAAGAGCAGCGATAAGACAGCGAGCAGGGGAGCGGCGTGACATCTGGCGTGCGAGCCGGCAGGGGGCAGAGCAGGCAGGATGTCACGTGGAGTGGGCGCTACGGGAGCCGAGAGGGTTGCGTGCGGACAGAGGGGGGTCTTTCCCACCGCCTGAAAGACTGCGTTACTCACAGGAGTCGCGGACTCTTCTTGCCCTGAGCTGGAGACGGGGGCTTCGCGGCCTGGGACTGCTGCCCTGGGGCGTCGGGAGGCCTGGCGCTGGGGCTGCTCCTCCGCCGGCGGGGATACTCGGCCTTCCTCCGGCGAGACACAGCGGCGGCGGCGGCGGCCGCAGCGGCCGCAGCGGCCCGGCCCCGGTCCCGACCTCCCCTCAGCACGCGGCTGCTAGTGGTCCCCGCAGGCGCCGCCGCCGCCGCCGCCTCAGGGGGCTGTTGTTGGGGCTCTTCTGGAGCCGCCTTGGCCGCCGCCGCCTCTCCCCCTTCCTGGTCCTGCTGCTCCGGGGGTCTCGGCTCTTCCGTCTCCCCCGGCATCGGGGCTCGTCCGTCCCCCACCCCCTCGTCCCAGGCGGCGGAGGCGGAGGCGGCGGCGGCCGCGGCGCTGCTCCCCCCGCCCCCTTCGCCTCCCGGAGCGTCCGGCTCAATCTCACTCTGCGCTCCTCTTTCCCCCCCTCCCCTCTGCCCGGCTCCGAGGGCACCCCCCCCGCCCCCTGCCACTCAAGGCCCGCGACGGCTGGCGGCGCGCGCGCGCCCGCCACAGACGTTCAGCGGACCAATCAGAGAGGAGGGACGGCTTCTTCGCCCTGCCCCTCGTGGTCTCTCACGCAGCGACGTCCTGGATTCCCTCCCCCACCCCTTACTTCAACCAATCAGGAAACGGCTCTAAGGGAGCGCGCGAGGTTTCCTTCCCCGCGCACCCGTTCTCACCGTTAAACGGCTGCGTCTCGCGACAATCCTAAAGTGACCTTCCTCCACCCCCCACCCCCCGCGCCACGAGCTCAATGCGCGCTAGGAGCAGTGGGAGGAGCAGGTCCCGCGAGGAGATTGGTGGGAGGAAAACGCACCTTTTTTCCCCGCCTCGCGCGCACCCTGGACTGGTTGCGCGCGCACCTGCCTCCCTAAGGAGCCGCTAATGCCACAGGGCTCTTTCTATCCTTCTTCCTTAAGCCGCGGAAGTAGCCTTGGCGTTCTTCTGCCTCCACCCCGATCCCACTTTCCTGTCTGTGGCCTTTCTGTCCCCAGCGCCGCCAGGTCTTGCGGGAAGAAGGGGGAAATTTTTTGAGTTGTCGCTTCTCCTTTAAGAAAAAAAACCCCGTCGACTGCCGGATGAAAGTCTCTGAAAAAATGGCGGCGGTAGAACAGAGGCGGGGTCGTGAGGGCAAGGAGGGCCCTCCTCTTGGCGCACGCGCAGGGTTAACTTGTCAAAAGGCATCTTGGGAGATGAAGTCCTAAATAGCCTAAGCTTTAGGAAAAAAAAATGAGAAACCAGAGGCAGAGAGGATGCTGGGAGGTTTTTGACTGATGCACGACGGGAAAGGTAGTTTACTCTTTCTGCGGTCAGCGTTTGCTCTTTCAGGGAGGTAGTATTTCCGGGTTAGGCCGCGACGCCTGCACAGATCTGAGCGGAAATGGCGAGCTAGTTGCTGGTCGGGATAGCTTGGGGTGGTTTTCCTGACCTTTTAAGTTGGTGTTGGCGAAACATTTTTTGGGTGGCCACGTTAGTAGCCCTTAGTTTGGATTGGTTACTTCGCACCTCCTAGCATTCATGCCTGCAGTATTCGCCTCGTCATCCTGTGTGTGACTCAGTAACCTGTGATCTCCCGGAGGTCAGGGACTGAATCTGGATCCGTCGGGTGTTCGGGGCGTAGCACAATTCTCAACACTCATTTGGTTCTTAATAAAAGTCTGGAAAGAATTGTAGAGTTGCTATCCTACTAGATATTTTCGGTGCCAAGGAGCTGGCGTCGGCTGCTTAACTTGGCTGTGGTCCCTGGGCTGCAGGGAAGGGGGAAGGGTTGTTAGTGTGATTCTGTGACCTACTCACAGAAACCGAAGGCCTCCTTCGTGCTCCCTGCCTCGAAGCCACTTGGCTTTTGTGGTTTTGAATGTTTCTGCTGCACAGGAAGCATAGTCAGAATAGCAGCTTTGTCAAAAACTACTTTTCTGCCCACTAGCGCGTGCAACTAAATTATTCTAATGCGTCAAATGGGAGTTTCCATTTGTTTTCCAAGTTGCATTCAGTGACAGCAGTGGGCCTCCAGCATTACTTCCTTTCTTCCTTTCATGCACTATAATCAAGGAGAAATTTGAAAGAACGGTTCTTACCCCTGGAAAATAAAGCTTCTGGGGTTAACACCCCGTGTGTCCCCACCCTCCCCTCCAGAAAGCGGATGGAAACAAGATCTAGGGATCCAATTATAAATTTCACATTAATCATTCATTTAACCTACAGAGAGAGTCTAATATTTGCAAGCCAAATGCTGAAGTGCATTTTTCCTCTCGGTGTTTTGGCTCAGTTACCACCATAGATTAGGCAAATGTTTTATATTCGCTATCAAATGTTCTGCACTTTCATAGGACTAGTGGCATTTCAGTTGTAAAAACTATGGATTAGTGTGGATGGGAATTTTTTCAAACCCGTTTGGACTTTTGGAACAGACTTTTGGAACAGCACTGACATCCAATGGCTGCTCAAAGTAATGCAGAGTGGGAATTTCCTTTTTATTAAAGAAAAAAAAAAGCTTAGCATCACAATGGAATGGGAGAATGAATGATTCCTTTACATCACCCTAAAAAAAGACCACGTATTGCAGAGAAAAGATCACAGGGATTGAAACTAAATCTGGATTATAGTAAATAGTAAAGCTACCTATAATTCTGTTATCTTTAGCAAGTTACTATTCCTTGAATCTATTTCACCACTGGTAAAAATGGAGATAATATTACATTTCACAGAGCCATAATTACAGTTCTTTACATACTGCTTTCTCATAGTAGGCCTTTTGTAAATGTTTTATTTAATTCAAGGTGAATAAAATCACAGTGGTAGAAAAGGTGAAAGTTAATCTCAGAGTCCCTTATCAGAGAAACTGCTATTAGGCAACATAACTAGGCAGAAATTGTGCTTCCCTGAGGCATCTGCAGCTTAACACCTTGTGTCTTGTCTTCCAGTTTCATTCTTCATAATCACTATAGTTGTTTGTGTTTTGGACCACAGAAATAACCAATAGCCCTGAAAATCCAAATGTGACTGCTACTCAGCCCTGCTTTTAATGGATTTACAGTCTATTCAGGAAAGGAGGTAAGCATAATTTCTGGATCATTAAGTAAATAGTGACAGCAAAATGAATTGGGTGCTGGTTAACTCTGATGGAAATTTTATGAAGGCAACCACTTCCATGGTCATCAGCTTTCACACACACACACACACACACACACATTCACACACATACAGTAGGTTTTCTGATGCACAGTCACAGTGGGATACCCACACTGGGGAAAAACACAAGTGCAAATCTGCCAGCCCATGAATTCAAGATGAATCCTGGCGCATAGTAGGTGCCCAGTTTTTTAAAGTTAATTTTGAATCTTTCTCACCCTCACCAATGCAGTAACAGAACTCAAATCCTACTACCGACCTTTCTATGTCCCATTTTCAAAACTAACTTATCGAAATGAAAGAAAGAAAGAGAGAAAGAAAGAAAGAAAAAAAAAAGAAACTTACCAAATCAAAAGAGAGGAAGTGCTAAGCAAATACAGGAACCAAAAAGGGTTATAGAGGCTGCTTCACGCTGTCTCATTCAGTTCCTTTGCGGTCCTCTTCTTCAGCACATGCCAAAGCAGTTCCTCACAACCTGTAGGACCAGAGCATCTTGGGTGTGTGACAATGGAAGAGTTGGGTGAGTGAGGACCTTCTTGGAGGAGAAACTCTGAGGGAATGAAGACTTGGCTGCCATCTCTGTGGTGGGGTGTACTTCTAGCCAGAGGGAGGGTGGTGCTGGAAGATTTTGTTTCCACTTCTCTCATGACCTCAGCCCAACCAAGAGTGAAGCATGAGGAACTATGATTGTTTTGGGGAACTATAGGTTCACTCTTTTCAGTGGCACAAATAGGCTGAGAGTTTGGTGCTCACTAGAGTAAACTATGCACAAATACTTCTGGACCAAATTGTGATTGAGATTGTCATTTTATTATGATTATTTGCCTCTTGGGGGCTGTTGCAGGTCATAGCGTGGTCACACAGTTGGCACCTGCAGATTTGTGATTTAGGAAGAAAAAAAAAGAAGGGAGAGGAGAAGAAATGGAATAGAAGAACAAGAATGAGGCATCTGTAAACGTTGGACAAAGGCCAGGGTAGTTTCATTTGTTCCATGGTTTAGTATTAAATCAAGGAGAATTAGTGCTAAAACTCCAATGATTCTGTTGCTAAGCTTTTTATTCAGAGGAATTCTGAAGGAACAGATTACTGTGGCCTGCAAATATGATACTCTTTCCATTTCAAACAATTAAAACCAGCAGTGAAACAATTGGCCACATTGCTCAGACAGATCCCTGATTTCCAATCTTTGGAGTAATGGAAGGTTTGTCATTCTTGGGATTCATTCCTTATCCTTTGCTGACTTTTGTTGCTGGCATCCTTACTAACACTGAGTCACTAACCTTTTACTCAATTTCCAAGCTGTATTAATTCCACAATGTTCTGGGTTTTTGTATGTTTGGGGTATGTCAAAAGTGTGAACAACAATGAAAAACATATTTTGCATATTGTCTTTGTGTTGTTGTTAATTGTTTGGAGTGTAATTTGAGGGCTAGAGGAGCAGAGAAAGGAAGATAGGCAAATTACAGAGGGAAGAGATGTTAATGAAGAGGGAAAGGTGTTATTTAATAAATATTGAACTGTTTTGGAGGCAAAGTCTATTTTAATGCTTGGGGTAGAATGTGTTTTAGACTTGGAGTAGAATCCAGATTCTTACTCTGTGTCAGAGTTGGGGAAGTTCACATTTCTGCCTGAGTTCAAAGTCCAGTGCTCTAGAATCTAGCCCTTCTTTCTTATTTTAGCAATACCTAATGGCTTTCATGCAGGTCATTCAAAAGGGAAGTAATACGTATTTAGTGACTTAAACTAAAACTTGACATTTTTGCATATATTAATCATGTTAGTGTCTGAAGCAACTCTCTAAAATAAGTATTGTCCACTTTTTTTTTTCCCAATGAGATAACTAAGGAAAAAAATAAATGTGTTCAATATCACTCTCAGGAGCCCCCAACACCAAAACTGATTAAGCTACAAGGCAATCTCCTATTTTAGCAGTGCGTTGGCTCAGGTGTTCCAAACAATAGAACAACCCAGATAATTAAAAAATTAAAAATTAGATTTGCACAGTTTTGCACTACTTGAGCAGGATGAATGGTAGAGAAATCTGGTCCAGAAATGTAGAAAGTACCAAGCCGTCTGGAAGGTAACATTCATATAATCTATCTGGGTGGCTAAACCTCACCTGTTTCTTCAGATTGTCAGCAGCTCAGTAACTACCCAAAAGACTTAGGGTGGGTCTTTCTTCCCTGCTCAGAGAAATAGGGTGCAAGACAGGTCAGCAAAGGCAGGCGGATATTTCCTTTTTGCAGTACTTCCTCCAACGTTGATGGTTTGTTTCCACCCAGCAGATTTTACCTAAACCTTCATTACTCGGGGATGCTAGATAAAGGAGAACCAGGAGCAGACTCTGGCTCTGAATGAAATCATTCCAATCCAGTGAGATCCCCCAAGAGACCTCACTTTATTCCTTTCATGTTACTGTTGACATTATCGGATTTCTGCAGATGAAGGGCTATAGGGAAGGACTACAGAGTTTTCCGGATAATATTTCCCCCCACCCCTTATAAACCCACATTTGTCATACTGAAATTAGTCATCTGCAAAGTATGGAATTTGGCAGAAGGCAAGATAATCTTGGGTGTTGGTGTTATGTGCACTCCTAGGAAACAGGAAGAGAAAGGCCTGTTAACTCATGACCCAGAGGGTAGAGTTTCACTAACTTTGGTTCACTAGTGCTTCTAAGGGTAACCTTCTCCTCTTAGAGATATGGTTTGCTTCTCTTACAGAGGGTCTCCCCTCTCCCCTAATCTTTACTGTAAATGTCTTTTTATTTTGAATACAAGAAGATCCATGATTTCTGATTGGAGCAAAGCTTAGAAAATAGAAAAGGGCTATATCTTAATAGAGGGGTACAGAACAAAAACTGGGAACCCAGAAGTTTGGCATTCAATCTAGCTAGTAAAGTTATGAGAAAACAAGTTTTTCTTTCTCTTTCTACATTAGTTTTCTCTTTTTAAAAACCTTTTAT